TAAAATTTTTTTAATGAATATACTATGATTATTTTAATACAATTACATTTTAACTGTTTATGTCATATTTCATACATCACATCCCCATAATGCTTCAAAAGAATTGACCTAGATATTTAGAGTTAGGCACCAGGGAATATACTCTGCACACAGAGAACTCATAGAGATGGTTGTAGAAGTCTGGATTTCTGACTTTCTTGACTGCAGATAAAATTTTTGTCTTTGATAGAGAGCACACAAAAGCTCACTTAAATTAAAAGCCACTATACAATTTCCCCTAATTCTTTTGTATCTCCAAGCAATCTTAAATATGTTTCCTTTAGCAAAGAATTAAGTTCACTTTTTAAAATTCAGTGATTATAAATATTTGTGTAACAGGAAAATGTTGTTCAAACTTTGACAATTGCACAAAGAAAAGAGAGACATGACTGGCATTGGTAAGTTTGAGCACAGGATCTGTGCATCTTCCACGGATAAAGAACAAGAGTGCTTAGGACAATTAAGAGCTCTTAGCTAGGGCTCTAACTGCTCTGGTCAACAAGATAGGCCTTCAAAGTGCCTTTAATAGGGGCTCATAAATCTACAGTAGCATTTATCAATGTCAGAATATACTCTAGGTACAAAGCAACAGCAACCGACTGAGGAACAGAGACTTTCAAACTATCCTCCTTGCCTCCTCCTCCCCTCTAGCTACAGAAGCCACACTTGGGAACTTGGTGGGCTTGCAAATTCTCCTATCTACCGAATTAGAAACATTGAGTGGGCCCAGCAACTCCCTCAAGCGACTTTGATTGAGGGACATTGCTAAGAAGATTCTACAGTGAAGCAGGGCTCTGGTGGCTCATTCCTGTAATCCCAGCTACTTAGGAGGCTGAGATCTGAGGAGTGTGGTTCGAAGACAGCCCAGGCAGAATGTGTGTGAGACTCTTATCTCCAAGTAACTACTAGAAAACTGGAAATGGTGCTGTAGCTCAAAGTGGTAGAGTGTGAGCCTTGAGCAAAAGAGCTCAGGGACAGCACCTAGGCCCTGGGTTCAAGCTCCACGACTGACCAAAAAACAAAACAAAACAAAACAAAACAAAACAAAAGATTCTACAGTAGTTTTGAGAAAAACATGAGACACCTAATTGACTGTGGTCAAACCATTCTCATTTGGTAGATTCAATGCCAGTCCCTTTTAGTGGCAGTCTAGACACTAGGATCTTGTTTAAAACACACTTTGAAAAGGTCCTTGCAGATAGATCCAATGGAAAAAGCAAGTATTTTTCATATGTTACCAGAGTAACAGTAACAGGAAGCATCATTCACTCCTGTGAGGGAAGTCTTCGTTTCAGGGGACTTGGAGTATTTACAGAAAGATCATTTTATCCTGGGAAAGCCAACATTTAGAAAAGCAAATAGGGGAAACTCAGCCTTGAAGGCTTCCACATGCACCTCTGCAGCCCACACATTAGGTGAACACTCCCTAATTATGGCTGCCCAGTGTGGAAAACGTGTCCCAGGCAAGTCTCCACTGTGGACCCTGAAAAATGACATTTCCATGTACTGGAGTAAAGAAACATCTCAGTTCAGTTCCTCTACAGATCCTTCAGTCCTGAGTTCCAAAAGGAAGGTGACCTTTCCCACCTCTGCCATCCTTTCTATATTCAGACCTGACTTAAGGAGCTGTTCATACCTGTATCATAAAACATTTTGTTATATAGCCTCTTCCTTTTTCTTTTTTATAGTACAGGGGATAGAACCCAGGGCCTTATATGTTCTAGGTTAAGTGCTCTACCATTAGCTATACTCCTAGCTTAATTATTTTTCATAGTTTATAAACAGCTTCCATGTTTATAGTATCATCTGACTGTCAGGGCAGCCTATGAGATTGAGTTTAATGTTCCCACTTTGCAGATGAGAAAACTTGAACTTTAATAAGCTGATTATTGAATATTAAAAGGGAATTACAAATGCTTTGCTTTAAATATTAGAAGAATTCATGATGAGCCAGGTGCTAGTGGATCATATCTGTAATCCTATTACAATTCTAGCCACTCAGAAGGCTGAAATTTGAAGATCTAGATCCAAGGCCAGCCCAGGCAGAAAAGTCTATAGATTCTTATCACCAATTAACCACCAAAAAGCTAAAAGTGGTAGAACACCAGCCTTGAGCACAAAAGCTCAGGGACAGAGCCCAGGCCCAGAGTGTATACTCCATGACTGACACACACATACACACACAAAGGAGGAGGAGGAGGAGGAGGAGGAGGAGAAGAAGAAGAAGAAGAAGAAGACAAAGAAGAAGGAGGAAGAAGAGGAGGAGGAGGAGGAGAAGGAAGAAATTCATGACATCTAAAAGAACTCATACTTTCTTGAGTTTATCATCTACCAGATGACACTGGTCAGAAATCACCTAGGTAGGGTTTTAGGTTGGGTGATATTTTTCTGGCTTAGTAAGGGCGAGGAGCAGGGAGATAATCAGGTAAAATAGACAAGCTCCTATAACCTGTAATCATGCCTGGAATTCTATGGAGTCCCAGGTAACAACAACAATGATGATGGTGCCAAACCTAATTCAGTTCTTACTACATGCTAGGCACCGTCTGCATATATTAAGTATAGTCAGTAATCCTCCTAATATCCCCATTTTCCAGATGGCAAAAATAAGGCAGAGAGAAGCGAAATAACTTTTCCACATCTTCATTGGCTTCTTTTTTGGCTGTGGAACTGAAATGCCAAGTCCCAGTCAGGTCTACCCATTAGCAAGGAAACTCGACATGAATGGCAGTCACCACAGGAGCCATTTGGGCAAAAGTCTCCACATGCTGTCACTCAAAACTAATCAGTGCTCAGCCTCCAAGTAATCAAGCATCAGTTCAGACTCCTAACAGCCAGTGCCGCCTCAGTCCATCATCAAGGCTTTCTACAATCTTGCTTAGCAATTGAACACTGACTAAATTGCCTGGAGCTGCCTTCAACTAATTTAAGAAAAATTAAAGAGGAAAGCAGCTTTGGAGGAAACACAGCAAATTAAATATGTATGTGGGAGGCAGCAGTTCTCATAAACGCACAGACTTAACAGCTCTGATTTCTCTTCTAAAGAGTATAAATAAAAAGGAGTCCTTATGGGTGTAAATTACTCCTACGTTTTCCCTCTCCCTCTACTTTATTTCAACTGCTCACGTTTAAAAACTGCTGGAGCCAGCCAGCTTTTCCGTATTGATCAATCTCTTTATGTTCATACCTCTTTTTCTTAAGGAAGGAAATAGATGGAGCTGAACACTTGTCTGAGAACACTGAGGCAAAAGAGGAAAACATGACCCCAAAGCTGAATGTAGCCTTCAAGGCTGAGCCTTAGAGGATGGAGGCTGGGGGTGGGGCAGATAACTTTCAAAGACTTCCTCCAATTTGCTTGCCTTCACTAATTTTCTGCCTCTAATTTCCACTGAATAACCACTTGGAAGTCAAGGAGCTCATTAGGGAACCCAGTTTAACAGCAAGATCCGGGGTACTTGACATAATTTCTCCTTAAAGCAAAGTCCTAAGACTGAGGAATGAGACTATGTGTCCTCGTCTCTTCCATAGTAATAGTCCCTATCTAACTACTCCTGTGGACCCTTGTGGGTCTCACCTCCCATTCTGCAGCATGAAATGATGATTCTTGCTCAGCTGGATGTGGTAAAAACAGAATGACTTAAAATACTAGAACCCTGAGCGTGCCTACAGTGGTGGCTATTATATTACTGGCATTATAGTACTCTACCCACTAGGCTTCCCACTGTGGCTAGGTTTCCTTGCTTTTTAATGTTTTTGTTTTAAAATGAAAACACACACACACACACACACACACACACACACACACACACACACACACCACGTTCTTGGATAGGGAAGGAGGAAAGCCAACTGTCCACAATGTCACCTGTTGGTGAGAGGGCGCAGCTTGGAGCATCTCCTTGAACAGTCCCCTTGAAGAGGGTGCCTCTCCTCCTGCTGGGGCTCATGCTCAGAGTTTCCAAGGCAGGATTACGGATAAACCCATGAATCCCCTGCGACCCAGAGGAACCTGGGCCAAGCTGCAGCTCTGGGTATATTTTAGGGAGGGGTCCCCATGCTTCTCTGTCAGATCCTAATGACCCGGTCACCACCCACCAACAGGCTTTTCAGGATTTAACTTAAGAGTATCGACAGGACAACTGAATTCACGGAAGGCTGCAGCAGCAACCAAGATACCCAGGCGGTTCATCAGATTCCACCAACCAGAAACACCCCGCAGACACCGAGAGGGCCAAGAGTCCGCGCGGCACTGCGTCCAGATAGACCTTTGAATTTCACCGCTGAAAAACGCACCCGCGACCCCTACCTGCCTCAAGTGTGCGGGGGGGGGGGGGGTTAACCTCCTCTCCCCTCCCCCATCTTCTGTTCACTTCTAAATTCAAATTCGAAGGAAAACGGGCCGCGATCAGTCTAGGGTTTCACTCCTTCCCTCCGCTGACACTGAAACCACTTCTCGCAGGGAAGTTAATTAAAAGAACCCCTAATCCGCACAAAAATCCAAAACCTATCCCAAAGCTCGAGAGCGCCTTGAAGTTACAAAGAATAAAGGCGTCTCAGTGGATTCCGAACGCCTGTCGGTCTGGTCTGGGGCTTGGGGACAGCCAAGGGGGCACGGAAGGGACACAGGCCAGGGCCAGCCAGATGACCGGCTCAGAGGCGGCCAGGTAAGCACAAGGTGTGGGCATGGGTGAGCAGACGCACGGTCGCGGCGGATTAAAGTTCACGCTCGGTCGCACGGCCCCGGGAGGCCACTTCCCAGGGAGAGCCTGGCCACTCAGCTGTCCCCTCTTTGTAATTCTTTGGGGTCTCTCCTTGCTTCCCACGCTCCGACCTAGGTGAAGCCTTCGCGTCCTCCCCCCCGCCCCCCGCCACGGATGCAGCAAAGCCCCCAGAAGAGAGACATGAAGGGGTCACAAGGAAGCGGGGTGTCGCGGCGGGCGCGCGGCAGACGGAGTACGTACCCAGCGCGAACAGGGCGAGCTGTCCAGCCGAGGTGACCATTTTACGCGCGGGCGGCGGGCGGGCAGGCGGGCGGCGGGCGCTCCAGCCTCCGGCCCTCCCTGCGGTGCCCGACTGGCTGAGCGGCGCCGCGGCGCGCGGGGGGGGAAAAAGGCGCTGGCGGGGCAGGGCCGGCCCGGCGCGGGCGGGCGGGCGGAGGCGGAGGCAGGACCGAGCGCCGCGGCTGGCACTCACCCCTGATTGCTGCCGATCGGGCGGAAATAGAAAGGAGGTTACCGTCACCTCTCCGCCACTCGAGACTGGGGTACGGCGGGCCACCCTCTTGTCCCAGTGGGGGTGTCCCCCTAAAGGATCTGGGGGCGGGGGGTGGGATCTGGGGGCGGGGACGCTACCAGCTCGCAGCCAGGCGCGGGTGGCGAGGCGGGGAGGGGCGATCCCCGACTCCCCGAGTCCCCGCAGCGCGTGCCGGTCACCCTGGCCAAGGAAAAGGCAGGAAGCGCCTGACTTCAGAGACCAGCCCCAGAGTGCCAACGCCTCGTGCCCGCGGGCCCCGGGGTGCGGGGTCGCCGCCCGCCGCGCAGTCCCTGGCGAAGTGGCTGCTTTTAGACTCTAGGCGGCAGAGCAGAGCCTCCCAGGCTCTGTCACCTGTGCCAAGGGCCGCTCCCCAAGCGGGACACTGGGGACGCTGTCCTGGAGGGGACCTGCGAACAGAGCCAGCCACCTGCTAAGACTTGGCCCAAGGAAAGACGCTCTCTAAAATCAAGCTGGGAATTTTTTTTTTTAAACTAGGTTTCAACCACGCCCCTACCCTCTTCGGTTCGGGGAACACCTGCCACCCACAAAGCCACTTCACGTCCTCTGGCTGGCACATTGTGGAGACCAAGGAGTCTCTGCGTCTCCGAACTAATGCTGGTAATGAAGATGGGTCTGTCTCCATATGCCAGGCTACCTCCATTGTCCCCGGGAAGCTGGACCAAAAGCTCCCGGGGTGGCAGGAGGCTCCCAGGGGGTCCTTTCAGGATTTGGTGGCTTTAAGCTTGTCTCCTGAAGGATTGGAAAACCTTTTTTATCCTGCACACTGAGAAATACCCAACTCAAAATAGATAATGGACCTTGGAGGAATAGTTAGATATTCTAGGTGGCTCATCAGTGCCTTGGGGACCATCCATAGAGAACAAGAGCTCAGTACATCCTAGATCATCAGTGGCTGGCCATGGAACTCACAGACTGACCCTTTCAGACTTCTTGGCTTAGCTACTCCAGGGTAGACCTCGGAGGAAAATCTCTTGCAGTTTATTTGGCAGGAGGTTCACTCTCAAAGACTGCTTGTGTCCATCTGTTTCATAGGAGAAGAGAAACCTAAATTCAAAAAGGAAACATCACCATATTAGTGTCAACACTGTGTGACTCAGCTTACTATGTGATAAAATACCTGTGATAAGCCACTTCAAAGGAGGAAAGATTGAATTTGGCTCACAGTTTCAGTCCATGGTGACTTGGCCCTGTGGCAAGTCAGAACATCATGACCAAGAGTTTATGGCAGCCAGGCACCAGTTGCTCCTACCTACTCAGGAAGGTGAAATCTGAGGATCCTTGTTCAAAGCCAGCCTGGGTTAGACAAATCTCAGACTCTTATCTCCAATTAACCAGCCCAAAACTGGAAGTGGAGATATGGCTCAAGTGGAAGAGTGTCAACTTTGTGAGATAAAAGGTGAACAGGAACACAAGGCCTTGTGTTCTAGCATAATCAGCACATATATACACGTTCACATGCAAGCACATACACACAAAGAATGCATGGCAGCTGGGAAGAAGATAGATAAAGCCTGGGGTCCTAATGTACCCTTCCAGGGAACTCTCCCAATGACATAATTTCCTCCAACGAGGCCCCTAATATTTCCACAACCTCCCAATAGTGCCATGAGTTAGCACCTGTGTCTTCAACACATGAGCAATGAGAAGATAACTTAAGGTCCAAACCATAACAGTTAAAAAGTACCAATTTTGAAAAGGGATTGAAAAGGGTATATACATTTACACTGGCAAACTATAATCTTTATTCCATTTACCAGAGAATACTTGGTTGTTCTTCAGCCCTTAATGATCTGTATTGACAGGTGAGGTTTTGTGGGCAGTCTTGAGGTGTGTCATTTCCTTAATCCATCACACAGGAGCTCCTTCCTTTCAGCATCTGAGGTTTAGCTCTTTCAGCTTGGCCCTGATCTGTCCTGATGTTTTTCCTGTCTTCCTTCCCAGATTAGTTCTTGGTGGCCTGAGATAAGGAATCATGAGCTCTCTCACCTCATCCATCTGGAGTGTGGCTCTGGCTAGACTGGCTGTCCAGCTGTCTGGGAGTTAAAACAGCAGTTTCCCTTTCTTTCCCCCCCTGTCTGTATGCCATCCAGGAAAGTAGCAACAAAATCAAACCAATGAACTTGAAGAACTGGAAAATCTTTTTGATCAAGAGACAATTTGCCATCTTGTAGAACAACAACAACAACAACAACAACAAAAATCCAAAATAACTTAAAAATGAAAAAACATTTATGTCTTTTCTTTTTTCTTTTTTTGTGGTTCTGGGGATTGAATTTGGGTTTTAGGACATAAGATGTCCCAGTAGCTAGAAGCTAAACCTAAAATACATGCAATTGTATATACACACACACACTAACACTATATGATTTTAGGGGAGAGAAAAGGGAAAGGAACAAAGAAAGAAGAATAATTTTGCAATACATTGCAAGTATATTTAGAAAACAACAGTATAAAGAGCTTCAATGAAAGCTGTTGATCAATATGGGGATGGGTATAGGGAAAAGGAAATAGACTACTGGGGGTATTAGGATGAATACCATCTAAATAGATTGTTCGCAACTGTGCAAATAGGACAATGAAAAGAAGGACAAGGAGAAGCAATAGAGATGAGAATGATTGGAACATATTGTAAATTTGTGTGGAAATGTTAACAATGAAATCCCCCGTTGTATAACAAATGTAAACTAATGAAAGAAAGGCAAAATGAAAGGAAGGAAGGACAGTACTTGGAATGAAAAGAGAGATTTCAGTAACTTTGTTCAGGCTGGCCTGGGATTATGATCCTTCTACTTCTGCCTCCCAAGTAGTTTGGACCACAGGCCTGCATCACCATGCTCTACCCTCGAAGTACATACTAATTCTTGAAAATTATTAATTCTCTACCAAGGTCTTCCAGAGCTGGTCCATATCTGTGGTCATATAACTTTCCAATTTGTTCTTGTCAAACAGGTAATCAGAGGTTGAGTTTTGTCTTGGTGTTAAATATTTTTGGTAAATGGAACTTATAAGATTTTTGAACATTTATTTGTAGAACCAGGAGGAGGCCTAATATCCTAAATGGCTGATGCTCTGGCTGTGGTACTTTATGTGTCTTATTTAATTCTCACAACAACCACACCTTGCTAAGGGAAAGAGTTTCACATATAAACCAAGATCTATGATTTTTTTTTCTTTTTGTGGTACTGGGCTTGAACTCAGGGCCTGGCACTTACCAATGAGGCACTCTACCACATAAGCCATGTTCAGAGCCCAGAAATCAGAACATTTTTGCACTTTACCACTACCCAACACATTGTTCTCTGAGCAGAGTGGAATTTTGGCATAGCTCCTTGAAGCTATGCACAGGTTCTGGTGTATTCCTTCACCTACAGACATTGTACCTGTCTCTCGTGGTCATGGAGACTTGCATCTCAATGCGCATGTGTGGCCTTCCCTCCAGGAATGCACCGATTGCCTTGCACACCCAGGCTTCAGCTGCCCTTGAGCTGGGCTAATCCCAGCTGTAACAAGCCAATCATGCCTGTCCTCCCTGAGCAAACAAGAGAGCTGTGTCATGTGTTAGGCAGAGGCCAGTAAATCTCACTGTCAGTTTTCCTTTCCTTTCGTCCATGTGCTTATTATAGAGTGTATGTTTAAGCGGCCCCTCTTCACTATAATCAGCCTCCCCCTCCTTCCTGGCTCATTTGTGCAGGTCATTGTGGAGCTGTAAACACCAGCACTTCTCTGAGTGTTCAGGGCAATGGATCTTGGTGGTTATCTCTGTAGTTGCTGGAGACAGTCAAGAGTAAACAGCTAGAGTTCTTACCAGGAGTCACAGCATCAGAGGAATCACATTTCCTGCAAATAAGCCTCAGAGCCAGTGTGCAGAGCCAGCTCCTGGTATCCCAGGAACTTCCCTTAGGAGCAGAGACAGAAGCACCTGGCACAGAGGGCAAGGTCAGACATTATCTCTGTGTGTGTGTGTGTGTGTGAGAGAGAGAGAGAGAGAGAGAGAGAAAGAGAGAGGTGCTTTATGAATGCCTCTGGCTTTGTATAAGTAAGGGAGGAGATTTTAATGTGGTAAGAGATTTAGGAAAAGAAATAATCAAAAGTGAGGTACTGTCCAAGTATTTAACTCTTCTCCCCCACCCCCCGCACCATGCAGCCTCAACTGTGACTGTATTGCTTATCTGAAGCTGAAAGCAAAATAGGAAACCTAATGCTCAGCTCATTTTGATGTTTTTCATCATTAGCAGACCAGACAGGGTTAAGAAGCAATAAGAATCATTTGCTTTGCTCTCAGTGATCTGGGTGATGATCGTTGCCAGCGTTGACCAAACACTAGGGTTGCCAATGTTTCCTATCATCCTCTTCCCAGCACTTGGGTCTACCTTGAGAGTACACATTAGAATTGTAGGCTAAGCCTGACTCCTTGCTTCCCAGAGCTCAGAGTTGGGCTTAGAGGTTGGTGGTCCCATGGTCCTGAGCAACACCATATCCTAATCAGTACACTGGATCAAAGTTTTCAGGACTTTAGAATGAAAGACATCATCTCCCACAATAGCTCATCAGCTTCCTAGCTACCAGGAGAGGTGCAATGCCACTGAAAGATTCAGCACAGCTCGTGCTTAGAGGCAGAGAGGCTGTCTAGTTGGACATTGATGGCTTGCATTCCCTTCTATCTCTTCTCTTTGTTAATAGCCCCACAACCCTGCTGCCACACTCTTCTGAATACTAGGCAACGTAGTCTCTGGAGTTCCTATGGGCAAGTCCTACCCAATGCGCATGTGTCCTTTGTGATGAGCATGGAGATAAGGTGGTGA